CAGTGAGCGGGAGCCGGTCTGTATGTGGGATCCGAACCCTCGGACGGGAGCACCGCCGCGCCTCCCAAGCGGCCCACTATCCAGTGCGCCACCGGGCCGGCCATTTCTCCTGGTTTTTAATGTCCCCAGATCATAATTTCAATTCACAGAGGCCTGGCTGTGGAGCTGAGACCAGGTTCGGGCACGATTTTCGAGGACATTTTATAACATCACATCGAAGGCCCAGGGGCTGGCTGTCTCCACCTTCTCACGTAGGAGTGAAGCCTGAGCTGCTGTCCTTGCCTGGGCTGGCTCCACCTCCTCCCTCTGACAGGCTCTGTTACCCTCGTCGGACCAGCCCAGCTTCCTCCTGCACCCTCTGCCTTCCCCAGCACCCCCTCTTCTAGGTTGACCAGCACACAGCCTGCACACGGCTCTGCCCCTGGTCAGCCACACACTGGCGGGCGGGTCCCCGATGTTTCTGTTTTGCTCCCTGAGTTTCCCCACTCTCTGGGCCACCATCACAGAGCAGCAGCTCTCACTTCCTGCGCCTGGGTCTGCAGGCGTCAGCACATGCTTGGGCTTTTTTGTTCCCCGTGTGTCTCCCTGGCTTCTCATTCAAGCCTTGGCCCACCCCAGCATGACCCTGGACACTCGATAGTAGTTATAACGACTCAAGGTCATTGCCTCTGTTTTCTTAAGTAAGTTTTATTGAAAGATAATTCACATGTTCAAAATGTACAATCCAGAGGTTTTTTAGTATTATTCAGAGTTGTGCAGCTGTCGCTATAGTCAGTTTTAAGACGTTTTCATCACATCAAAAGGAAACCCTGCGCCCTCAGCTATCATCCCGAGACCCACTCTCTCCCCTGTCACTGGCAGTCACTAGTCTACTCTGTCTCTGTGGATTTGCCTGTTCTGGACATTTAGTGGAAACGGAATGACACGACATGTGGTCTTCTGTGTCTGGCTTCTTTCACTGGGCATGTTTTCATGGTTCGTCTTTGGGGCGGCAGGTGTCATTGCTTCATTTCCGTGCATAGCTGAACGATAACCGCATTTTGTATGTCCATTCGTCGCTAGATGGATGTTTGGGTTCCACTTCTTAACTGTTATGATGATGTGGCTATGCACATTCATATGTAAACTTTTGGGTGGATGTCCGTTTTCATTTCCCTTGGGTACATTCCTACGAGTGGAATTGCCGGGCTGTCTGGTAACTGCATCTGACCTTTTGAAGAATGGCCACACTCTTCTGCAGCAGCTGTACCATTTTACACTCTTGCTGGCAACTATGAGGGTTTTAATTTCCTCACATTCTTGCCGACATTGTTACCATCTGACTTTGGGGTTCTAACTGTCCTAGGGAGCGTGACACGGTGCCTTGCTGTGGTTTGATATGCATTTGCCCAAGGACTGATGCTGAGCATCTCTTCATGCGCTCATTGGCTGTCTCTATATCTTCTTTGGACAAATGTCTAGCCAGATCTTTTGCCCATTTTTATTTTTATTTTATTTTATTTTATTTTTTTCCTTTTTGTCTTTTTTACTGACCGGTAACGGGATCGCAACCCTTGGTGTTGCGCCCGCACCGCGCTCAGCCAGTGAGCGGGAACCGGTCTCCACATGGGATCCAAACCCTCGGCAGGAGCGCCGCCGCGCTCCCAAGCGGCGCACTCTCCGGTGCGCCACCGGGCCGGCCCTTGCCCATTTTTAAATTGGGTAGTTGGTGTCTTCATTACTGAGTTGTAGGGTTCCTGTGTAGTCTGGATGGGGTTCCTGATCAGATATATGACTAGCAAGTATTTTCTCCGATTCTGTGGGTTGTCTTCTCACTTTCTTAATAGTGTCCTTTGAAGCATAGATGTTTTTAATTTTGATAATGTCCCATTTCTCTATTTTGTTGTGCTTTTGGTGTCATATCTAAGAACCCCTTGCCACCTCTGAGATCATGCAGATTTCTTTATAAGCGTTTTATGGTTTTAGCTCTAATGTTTAGGTAGGTAACTGATCCATTTTGAGTGTCTCCTCTTCTCTGAGAAACGGAAACACCGTGGCCCCTCATGTCCTCAGCCCTGGAGCAGAGCCTGGCACCAGGGCTTTTGTCCCTCATCCAGGGTGGGTGACCCCTGCCCCCATTGTTCTGAGTTGGGCTTCCACCCAAGACCTTGCTGTGACTCTGCTGCTGTCCTGGGGGTATCAGGGGTCTGGGCTCATGGGACAGACACTGAGGCTGCTGTGGCACTCTGGGCAGGCGTGTTGGCTCCTGGGCTGGATTGGACTCTGCGTCACTCCACAGCAAGCAGCTGGGTTGTCAAGAAGCTCACTGCCCTCCTCCTAAATCTGCCTCATTTCCCACTTGGAGAGTCTTGAAACAACCTGGGCATTTCTGACCTCTGTCTTCTCTGCCGCCAGATGCAGACCTGACTGTCACTGAAGCCAGCAGCTCGGACAGCCGAGGGGAGAGGGCCGAGCTCTACACACATGTCGACGAGGGTATCCTGGGAGGAGAAGCCAGCTACCTGGGCCCACCCCTCACCCCGGAGAAGGAGGACGCGCTCCAGCAGGTGACTGCAGTGGCCAACCTGCGGGCGGCGCTCATGAGTAAGAACAGCCTGCTGTCTCTCAAGGCCGACGTGCTCGGGGATGACGGCTCCCTGCTGTTTGAGTACCTGCCCAAAGGTGCCCACTCGCTGTCTCGTAAGTGCAGACCCCGTGTGCTGCTTTGCTTTGGTTTGATGTTGACGGTTCAGAGTTGCGAGTCTCAGACTGAGATGGGATGTGGCCCATCATTCAGGAGGATCGGCCATGGATAGTGGCTGCCTTCTGACCTCCCTTTTTCTGGGAGGTGGTGAGTCCACGTCACAGCCTGGACTGGCCTCTCAGGCCACCTGGGGCCGGCCAGCCATGTGCATTACAGTGTAAGGAGGGAGTTGTGTGGCTGACAGGGATGTGGGAAGGGAGACAGCCCATGCTTGTTGGAACGTTTCGTTCATTCCAGGCTTAGAAGTGCACACGAGTGATAAACAGACTGGAGACCAGGAGTTCTGTGTGAGTGAGTCATCGAGGGATGGCGCAGAAGGCAACAGAGGGTCCTTGTGTGGAAAGGATGGGCTCGGGCTCCCTCTGCTGGCCCCTCTGTGCCTGCTCTGTGCACGACTCATTTTTGTGGGAGAGGTGGGAAGGAAAGCCAAAATCAGACATGCGTCCATGTCGTGTGCACTAGGAGATGCTGGTCACATGTGAAGTTTTAAGGAGTTGGGTGTTGTGTCTAAACTTAAATGTCTCCAGCTTAATTCCAAATGATGGGCCAACTCAAGCTGTGGCTAAAGGTTCTGCCTCTGGGCAGCAGGCTTACCCTGGCCTCCTTCCCTGGTGACTCAGGAGGGATTTTGCTTTCACAGTTAAAGACCCACTGGGTGACAGCCCCAGTGCAAGCTGCTTTGCCTGGTCACAGTGCCTGTGTGGCTGACCACCCCATGCCCAGGGTACCAACCTCGGCTCTGGCACTTTGTGTTTATCTGGTCCTCGGCATGGCTGAGAGAGAGGCCCTGTTTCTCTCTGTCAGGGAGGTGTGGGTGCCCCCAAACTGGAGGTGCTGAGTTCTGGGGGTGTGAGAGGTGCCCCATGCCCGGTGGTTCAGGGTCCGAGCATGTGTCGCGAGTGCGGTGGACGTTGTTTCCTGAGTTCCATGGAATGAAGTAAAGGAAACTTGCCACCACTCATCATCATGTTGGAGCTTTGGGAAGTATGTCTTTGTTTTGATTTTTTACTCTGCTTTAAAAAATAATATTTGTACAACTTTGTTTTTGTGGGCACTAAAATATTCTTGTAATATCCATATAGTTTTTATATTGGGTGATAGTGATGCACATCATTTATGGCCAATAAAGACTGAAAGTGGAAAGTAATGGCTCTGCTGCCTTTATTTCCATGTTCCTGATTAGGAGCCACTGCCAGTTGATCGGACTTGGCCACAAAGTCAGACCCCTGGCTGTTTCACAGGCAGTGACAAGCCATTTGACGCTGGGCACACTTTTGAAGACATCTTTAGGCCTCATTTGGAAAATGGGGACCCCCCCATCCCCCTTGCCATAGGTGGTACTGCCTGAGCGAGGTGGTGGGGGTGGCGTCACCCCTAGGATGGGGCCTTGCTCGGCGGGCTTTTCAGTGTGAGTCCCTGTGTGCTGAGCATGTTTGAATCTGGAGTTGGAGTTAGGGTGGCTGCCCCGCTCTCCCTGCGTGCTCGTGGCACAGCGTGAGGCCCCCGGCCGGCTCTCCGCCCTGTGCAGACATAACCGAGAGCCGGGAAATAAAATCCCACCTCGTTCTAGTCTTGGTGCACCTGTGACTAATTCCCGGCAAAGTCAGCTAGTGGATTTGGTATTTTGGTATTTCTGTTACGTTTTAACCTCCTTATTTTTAATATCTAAACGTTTCACTTTTCTCGTAAGAAATTTGCTCTTTCGTTTTCCATAGATTGGGTTTAGAAGTTGGCAGGATCCTTTGCCGGTTGGGCTGTGAGCTGGTTGACTGGACTGTGTGCGGAAGACCGAGACACCTGCACAGCAGGTGGACACCCACCTGGTGCGCAGAGGGGCGTAGAACGTGGTGGTGGAATGGATTATTTTAAAACATTATTTTCTGACATGCTAAGTGATGTCTGCCTGTTTCTGGGCATACACTAAAACTAAGAATGGAAATACTGGGAAAAAAACCTTTATTTTCCAAAATGTTGTGGTCCTCCCACCTTACCTTGCAGTTCTGGAAATGTGCCCCAAGCCCTGGGCACATGGAGGGGCTGTCCTACGCTGTCTCCTCTTCTAGAATGATTGTGCTATGCACCTGGGAGACCCTGAACATGTTTGAAGAAAGGAAAGATGGCCTCACACCTGGGCAGAAGCTTCACTGCCCTTCGCTGGGGAGCGGAAGCGGCGGAGGGGTCGCATGCTTCAGCTCCGGCCAGCTCTGAAGAGGTGGCCACGAATGATTGTGCTATGCACCTGGGAGACCCTGAACATGTTTGAAGAAAGGAAAGATGGCCTCGCACCTGGGCAGAAGCTTCGCTGCCCTTCGCTGGGGAGCGGAAGTGGCGGAGGGGTCGCATGCTTCAGCTCCGGCCAGCTCTGAAGAGGTGGCCACGGAAGGAAGCTCATCCCCTGCACCGTGGTTTTAGGGCCTGGGGATGCAGGGTGCCCTGGCTGCTGTGTCTGGGCTCTGCTCTGTGTTGTGACCGGTGACTTCCACATGTGGTTGTTAGTGATGAGATTTTTCTGGCACCGAGCTTTTCGTTAACACGACCTCTGGGGTGCCTGTGGGGCACACACCCCAGTGGACGTGTGTGTCTTTGCACATGCCGTGCCGTGTCTAGATCCCAGCCCGACCTGACTCTCCATGGTCTTGAATGCACCGTGGTTGTGTAACATGCTCTGGTCATGGCAATTTTGCAGAAGAATGGGATAGTAATAGCAAATTTTTAAATCCAGAGAACCATTGACAGGCAGTGCACAAACAGCACAGAACAGCCGATGCTTAGAGGTCCTTTCTGGATGGTTCTGGAACATTCCAGTCAAACTGAAATTGTTTCCTTGTTTTCATAGGACTGATAGTATTGGCTTGGCCACTAAGTCGACAGGTGGTGGTTTCATCACGAGGTCATCAGTCTTCTAACTGGTTTTGCCACACGAGTCCTTCTCATACTTCTCCTCTTGACTCAGTCAGGGTTGACTCTTCTTTACTCTGTCACTTTCTCAGCAGGTGGCTGCCATCCTACCTGTTGACAGCCGTTGTTCACTGCATAGAAACCATGAAAAGAATCATTTTTGATTGAGAACAGGGCTCTGTGTTGTGAGTTGTCTTGTGGGTGTCCATTCATGTGCCCGGGACCTTGACACATGAAAATAGCGTAAGAACACAGTAGCTTTGATCTCATGTGGACAAAATGAAGACAAAGCCAGCTGACGGTGGGTCCAGGAGGGTGAGTCCCTCATATGACTGTGACGCCATCTCAACATCCGCGGTAACCAGAAATGTTACAAGCGTCACTCCCAAGTATGGCAGCATGTTGGCCGTCGTCACTGTTTTTGGAAAACAGCCGATGATTCCTCTAACAGTTATGGGCGGTGCTGCCCTGTCTCGATGGAAGAACATGCCAAGTTCACTCCATTCGTTAAGGGGAAGAAAAGATCAAGGGACCTGGGGGTGGCTTCTTAGTGTCCACGTTGGTTGGTGGAGTTGGTGATGGGGCCCGCAGAGCGGCTGGACCACGAGGGCTTCCTCTTTGCGACCCTTCAACCGCAGGCCCGGCCAGACATCCAGCAGGCATTTTGTGGAGAACGGTCACAGCTTGTTTTTGTTGGGTTGAGGTTTAAAGAGTATCTCCTGATGGTGTTTAAAAAAATGGATCAGGGCCCTTAACTTGATACTGGAATTTTAAACAATTTTCTACTAAAGAGCATTGTGTGGAGATATTCCTGCCCTTGTAGGTACACAGCCAGGCTGGCACATCTTGTCAGAAGGCCGTTTCTCAAGTCCAGGGTGTGCGTGCGCCAGGTTTCTTTGCTGAAACCCTCTGTTGAAATGATGTTGGTCCTGGGAGAGACCCCTCATCCCAGACGAGTCACATGCAGAGACCCCTGGTGTTTGGGGTTGGCCAGCTGGTGAAAGTACCCACAAGACTGCTTCCAACAAGGCCCTGGCACCGTCACTGGCCGGTTGTGCACCACAGCAGATGGACGGCACTTCTGGAACTCTCTAAACCCACAGCTGGGCTCATTCACGTGGGTGAGACTCCTTTCCTGTGTTCCCAGGGCCCGGGTCACTCTGGGGGAAGCCAATAGCAGGGTGGAAGCCCATCCACCCTCCTTCCCACCCACAGCCACAGGATGGTTTCTGGTGAATCACCAGACTGAGCCCATGGAGCCGGCGCTGCCTCCCCCAGCCCAGGTAAGACCTGAGGGTGGCTGGCCACGTCCCAGGGCGCCCGGACCAACACTCGAGGGTGGCGCTGCCTGTCCAGTGAGCAGGTCCCAACTGGGCGCAGCGCTGCAGCACCCCGTGCGCTCGATGTGTCCTATGGGCTCAGTAGGAGCCTCGTCTTGAGGACTTAGGGCTCTGCTTCCAGGCAGCCTCTCCTGCACACTTGGCTCAGCCAGGTGCAGAGAAAGCCCATTTTTTGTTAGTGCAGCTGTTAGCTTCTGCAGTGATAACTGTTTCCCTCCCTCAGCAATGTGTTGTATGAAATTAAGTGGGTTTTTACATTTAAATTAAAATACTTCTCTGAAATTTTTTTAGGAATAATTTCCTAACATGAAGACATTTGACTCGTATAGCAGTAGGTCAGAAACACTCAATTCCTAACCCTGAGCTGCGTCCGGGGTCATGGCATTTTTCTGACCGCCACTCCCACCCAGAGCAGATAGAAAACGGGCTCTCCTTCCTGCTCCTGAGGTCGCAGGGGTCGCTTACATAAGGAAAGGTCTGTTAGGATTGTTTGCCTTCTGAAGAAAATAATTTCTTTAAGAGCTTAACCACACATTTTGGATTTTGAAATTAATCCAGTGCTGTTCCTTTGTGAGTCCTTTCTAACAGGATAGTTTTGGTGGAGGGTGTTGGTGTTCTGTTAATGCAGATTTTTCTTTTGAGTGTCCGTTCATTGAGAATTAACAGTAGCCTTCCTTTCCAGATGGCCAGTGACGGGT